AATGAAATGAAAATTAATGACTGAATATTTAAAGTAAAGATAGATCAGCATTTTTGCACAGAAACAAAAACATTCCCTTGAACCATTTCATTCAATTGAATGAAACTTTTAGTTATTTATTAGCTTGATTAAGAACAGATTTCCTCTCTGATAGAGAATTTGCAGTTTTCTCTCAATTATAATATAAACAATATTTTTTTTTTTAATATTATAGCTAAGAATCCACAACTGATGTAAGATTTTACAACAATCACTATATTCTGGCAATAACAGATAATAAAAATGCAGATTCTAAATAGAAAAGACAAATGTAAAAATTCATTTTACCATCAAGTGTGAACTGCATACAAATTCTATCTATAGATGTATCAGAAACTGTTTTCAAACTTTTATGAAGAAATGGATCAAATTTCATCAAAAAATAACTTATAAAAATCAGATATCTTTGTGTGTCATAATGTAATCTAGACTAATCATTGTATTTGTATTACATTTTTAAGATATATTTGACAGAAATTTCAACAAATTTTGGACCTTAAAATACTTTTACAACACCAGTATTTCTAGCCAGAAGACAGACCAAAACAGATATTTTACACAGAGATCTTAAAGAGAAAATATAACTTTTCCAAAACCAGTCTTAAATAAAAATTAGTAAACTATTTACACAGCCTTTTGCTTTTAATGGCTGGCTGATTACTACATTTGGAATTTTAATTTAAAAGAAATGATTACATTTTACGAAATGGTTTCTTTTTATCCCATTTAAAGTTCCAAATTAAGGGAATAAATTACTACACCTGCACATTTTATCTTAGAAAAAAAAATATATTTCGAAAATATTTTAAGCATAAATTTAATATTTGTTTCTTTTTTATAATATAAATATTGTAACAAAACTACCTGAATATAAGCGAACTATTTTATCAAACACCATCTAGAAGCGACAAGAACAACTTTCAGCAGTTGACGTCCAGCTGCGATGAGGATATGTTCTCTAATGTTATGTCTCCATGACTCGGAACGTTAATTCTAAATGTTAGATGTTCCATTCTGGTGTATGTTCATTTTTGATGTATCTTTTCTTTGTAACTGTTTCTGTGCTCTGTTAGTAAATAGTTTTAGAGATAGCCTGCATTTGTGTTTATAACAGAAGAACAGCTACAAAATTTGAGCCCATCAAAATGTTAAAAATGTTTGGAATTTCTTGTCTAGAAAATGACAATCATTGAAATGATGGGAATTTCTGTTTGGCTTTAAAAAGCCCTTACCTCCAAATTTAAGTTACAGTTACTGGAAATTGGCTCAGTCTTTTTTCAGGTGTGAACTGCTGGTCAAATTAATTTTGGAAACCAAATCTTCAAGTAAAAATATTAAGTTGTGCTGCTAGCACATCGAATGGAAAGCAAACAACTTTCAAAAGAATAAATTTTAAGTTTCTTTTAAATTATTGTTTGAGTTTAAAATTCTTTTTAAATTGATTATTTGTTATAAACTGCTTCTTAAAGAAAATGTAAATTCCTTAATGGAATCCAATTTATAAATAGTACATAAAAGTATTAGACAAAAGCAAACAGCTTTCTTTAACAATTAGGTTACTTTTAAATGTTGGTTAATTTATTATTCTAAAATGTTTTAATGTGCATACTATGTTAAATTATGGGTTCTATTAGCAAACTGAGTAAGCATTTTAATAAAAAAAAATTTGAATAGATTCACTGACATTATTCATTGGAATTTATAAGTTTCAATTCTCGGTAAGAGCAGCAGATTTTCCTGCCGCCCCCTGCAGTATTCTAGACTAGATGAACCATGAAGCATTATCATCAAATCTTTTCATTTACATTCTATTCATTTTCTTTGAATTCTTTTAAAACAATACTTCTTGAAATGGAAGAAAATAATTATAAATAAAATAGAACTAATATTTAACTGAAGTGAAAGAGTTATTGTTGTGAAAGATTAAAATCAGAATTCAGTTTTAACAAAAGCTTATGATAAGACATTTGTTTATGTTTTGATAAGTAGTAAATGAATATTTCAGCAAATTATTATAAGTGTTTAATAATTTTTCTGGCGAAAGGAAGAACCGTTGCCATATTATATTTTAAATGGCATAATGTTTTTATTTATTTAAGTTTATGTAAACAACTATAAACATAGTACTCTCATTTGCCTCTTTTCTAATTTTTCCTTCAACCTACAATTAGTTATATGATCCAGACATGACAAAGATACTGAAGCTTATAATGTTATGACTAAACAGCATTAACATATCATTAAAAAAGAACACAGTTGCTTTAAACATGCTAAATTTTGGAATCTCATTAAGAATGCAAATGAAATCATTTTTATATTAAACAAACACTTTTAGCATCAATTAGTAAATTCTCAGTTTAAAATAATGAAAGAACTCACCTTCAACTTAGGTACTCTTTTAATGGTCTTGAGTGGCCGTAACACTCGTAAAACTCTTAAAGATTTGATAGTACTAAGATTCTGGCCTGTACTACTTCCACTGAAAAAATATGAATACTAAATTTAAGCTTTCATATTTTCTACTTTAATCCTCAAAGTTGTTTTTTTTTTTTACTATGAGAATTTTTTTAAGCATACAACAATTGTAAGAAAATACTGAATTAACTTTTAGCATCCTTATATAAATATGAACATTAATTTTATAATTTTTAAATAATAAAAGTTTATAAATTTTAGCATATGTATATTTTAATTAAGGAACCTAAGAATATTTAAAGAAATCTCTTACTTGTAAATTCAAAGGAATAAAGTGTTTTCAGATACAAACTTAGTTATTAGAATATTTTTTCATTATTCCACATATGAAAAGAGCCAGTATTTTTACTTTATTATTTATTCCATGATTTTATAAAAGTATTTCCAGAATAAAATATGATTTAATATTGATTATGACAATGAGCATTTCAAGCATTAACATTGACAAACTATCATTCCAAAAGGCCTGCCTCAAAAAACTTTAACAAATAACTCTAAAATTTATTTTTATAAATATAGGCATTTTTTACTACAGCAAAAATTGAAGGATTGAAAAAAGGAGAAAAGGAAAACAAGGGGGTGTGAAAGGTAAATGAAAAGACAAAATGAGCGAGATAACTCTCTAAAACTTATTTTAAACAAACCAAAGTTGATTTTTTAAAGAAATATTTTTTCTAGCTAATCATTAGCATAAAGCATCATGCAATAAACATCTTTCATATAGTGCTTATGAGTGTATGCACAGTCTTTCGAATGAGAGATGGAAGAAATAAAATAAAAGTAAGAAACAAGATCATAGGTCAGGTACTGATTTAGTTGCCGAGGGCATGAAAGGCCTTAGTTATATAATAGGAATTTCAGATTTCATATTTATAAACTTAAAAAAATTACTGCTTACTAAATTCCAAAAGAATATCATTATACTTTTTTACTTCCTAATTTTCTTACTAGTCATTTGTGTAGCAAATATTATTAATCAAGAATGCTGTTTTCCCCAATAATTTATATCCCTCAAGAAAACCCTTTTCTGTTTGGTTGTCAACAAAATTAATTCTGTTATATACAGACATTTATGAGTTTATATTAGATTCTAAATTTAATCAAACAAAACTGGGACACATAGATAGACTTTTATAACAAAGGTAAAAATACATTTTTTATAAAATTACATAAAAGAACCTAAAACAATTTTCCCAAGAATATCATAAAAACATTTATGTTGATGCAGAGAGGAACTACATATTTTCTTGTTTACATGAACTTAACTTTACGAGCTTGCATTTTATAACAAATTTTGATCTGTTAGTACCGAGAGGACTGGAAATTATATTTTAATGAAGTATAAAAATGTCAACACATCATTTTTATTTTGCCACAGCGTAATATATCTAGTTACATTAAATTAAAATATTATCACTGAATACTTGTTTTCATCTTTTGATATATTTTTAGTTTGTAGCCACAAACAATCAAAAATACAAAATAAAAATTTAAAAAGAATATAGCATGCGTACTCTGCATCTAGAGCAAAATATATTCAACAAAACTGATCTAGGCTCTAAAGTGTGCATTTTTGTCATAACAACTTATTATTATTTGTCATAACATATACATTTCTTAGGGATCAGTCTCCCAAAAAATCTTGGGTCTCAATGCATCTTATCTCAATCAGGGCTTCTTAACAGCACTACTGGTATCATTCATACCAACTAGTTTAGAAGTTATGATTTGTTGCTATGAAGATTATATTTAAAGCATGTATCAAAACAGGACAAAACTGAATTTTTCCTTTAAAAAAAAAAGGGGTGGGCAAAGCAATAAAATGGTATGTTAAATTTCAAAATGGGACATTTGCCCAGTAAAGTTATGCTACATAACTTTCTCTCTTATTCACTCGTTATTTTTTTTTAAAATCGCATTAGTTTTTACTAAGAGGATTAGGTACTGAAAAAAATAACAGCAGTACTGGTATCATTCATACAAACTACTTTACAAGTTATGATTTGCTGCTATGAAGATTATATTTAAAGCATGTATCAAAATGGTACAAAACTGAATTTTTTCTCTAAAAAAAGGGGGGGGGCTCGTCAAAGCAATAAAATGAAACGTTACATTTCAAAATGGGACATTTGCCCAGTAAAGTTATGTTACACAACTTTCTCTCTTATTCACTCATTATTATTATTTTTTAAATTGCATTAACTTTTACTAAGAGGATTAAGCATGAAGAAAAATTATAATCCTCTCTAAGATGACCATACATGGATGGCAGTGTTGGCCATTTTGGAGAGGTAAAATTCACTACTAGTATTATGTTCTCAGAAATGCAGGTCACTTTCGGAAATGGTCATTTTAGAGAGGTAGCCTTTACAACAGGATTCATTTAAATTAAAATATGAGGACTAATGATATGATTTGAAGATTAATGCATACAAAAATGGTTAATGTGCTCTAATAAATTTATGCAAATTGGAAAAAGAAAGAAAGTCCAAATTATCATACCATAATAAATAAATATTTGTTTAATCTGATGGATGTCATAATAAAAGCATTTTATCTAAACACACTACAGCAAAACATATTATTATTACTTAGTTTTATTATGAACCATTTTGAAATTATGTAATACAGTACAAAGCCCATAATCTGGACGCCCATTATCCGGAATGATCTATAATCCATACCTCAAAGCCACAAACTTTTTTTGTATGCTTTATGCATGCGCGTTTAATGTATAATGGATGGTATAAGCTAGGCTAAAATTATCTTTACTAATTCTAAGGCATTTCAGTTAATGTTGCAGATTGCGCTGTTCCTTAATCTTCTAATTGTATCCAGCTCATTGTTTTATGCAGACTGTTAAAGCAATTTTATAAAAAATTAAGCATGAACTTTTGATTATGGCTAAAAGAGTTTCCAATTCTGGAGCTGGCAAAGGATCTACAAAGCGAAAGTATGCTTCGATGTCCATCAAACAAAAAGTGGAATTGCAGCAAAAAATTGATAAAGGCATATCTGTCTCAAAAGTATGCAAGGAGTATGACATTGGAAAGTCAACTGTATATGACATAAGCAAAAAGAAAAAGGAACTTTCTGAATTTTTTGAGGATTCTGACACCCACTTGCAATGAATAACATAAAAAGGGTTTGTTATACTAAAAGTGACAATAATGACAAAGTGATGATTGAATGGGTCAGACAGCATCACAGCAAGGGCACGCCATTGATGGGTTTAATGCTAATGGCTCAAGCCAAAATACTTCATGAAGAAATGAACTTAAACACTGAGTGCACATATTCGACAGGTTGGTTAACCAAATTTTAAAATCACCATGATATGTAAGCTTTTTTTTTTTTTTTTTTTTGTAAAACTTTCAGGTGAAAAAGCTTCAGCTCATACTGAAGCTGCTGAACCATTTGCAGATGAATTCATTGAACTCATTACTAGTGAACAATTATCTCCAGAACAAAGTTACAATGCTGATGAAACTGATCTTTTCTGGCAATATGTACCGCAAAATACCTTGGCAACCTCTACAGAAAAGGCTCCAACTGGTGTCAAAGATTACAAACTAACAATTTCAGCGTGTGCAAATGCTGAAGGAACGTGCAAGTGCAAACTTTTCATAATCAGAAAACATGCACGACCTCGAGCATTTAAAGGAGTAAAGATTTTCCCCGTAATTTATCGTGCAAATAGAAGAGCATGGATGACACAAGCGTTTATGAATGATTGGTTTGAAAATCATTTTATACCCGAGGCTCAGCGACATTCGTATTCGGTTGGTTTACTTGACGACTCAAAAATAGTCCTGATTGTTAACAACTGTTTGGCGAGTACTTCACTTAAAGTTTTAGTGAAAGATAATGTATCCATATTAATTCTTTGCCCTCCAAATTGTATGTCTGTCAATGGATTCCTATTGATATCGGAATAGTGCGTGCGCTGGAAATGCAAATATAAAGTAGCATTTTTAAAATCTAATGTTAAATTTCTTGAACAAAGGCAAGACTATTCAAGAATTTTTTAATATTTTAGCATAAAATCTGCTGTGTGGAGCATCACAAGATCGTGGGAGGATGTGGCTCCAGATACGTTAAAAATGCTTGGCATAATTTATAGCCATCTACCACATTTCATGGTGAAGGACAATGAAGATGATAGCCGCGAATTTGAACGGTATTTCGGACATTGCAAACTAAAGGTGAAATTTTACAGTTATTGGATTTTGTAGAGAAATGTGGAGAAGCGTAATAAATGAAGATAATGCAACATAAGTTTTTCATTGCGACGACAATGCCTCAATCATCAGTCAATTAACGGATGGCGAAATCTGTAGTATGGTTCTAGATCCAGAAAATACTGCTTTCGATATGAAGAAAGTGACAGAGAGGTTACTGAAAACGAAAAAATTTCGATTGACAAGTTAGTCAGTATTCTCGACACAGCAATTACAGGACTTGAACAGTGGAACTTTGTAACTGAACAAGAAATTATGTCTGTTTATAGAATTAAAGGAAAAGTACAGTCAAAAGTCGTTAATTCGGATACCCATAATCCGTACCTCAAAGCTACAAACTTTCTGCGCATGCGTCGCGTTGACGCATTCGCGTAAGACCTTTACGGCTGCGAATAAGCTTGTGCGCGTGCGCAAAATACGTTTACGAGTTCGCGTTTAATGTATAACGGATGGTATAAGGTAAGCTAAAATTATCTAATTATCTATTTCAGTTAATGTTGCAGATTGCGTTGTTCCTTAATCTAGCCGAATTGGATCCGGCTTATTATTTTTTGCAAACTGTTAGAGCAATTTTATAAAAGTAAGCTTGAACTTTCGATTATGTCACATAGAATTTCTGATATACATTTACTAATATGTAAATGATTTACAAAGCGAAAGTATATTTCGAGGTTCATTAAACAAAAAGTGGAATTGCTGCAAAAAAATGGATAAAGGCATATCCTTTGTTTATCTAAACTTTAACGTTTGTTTATCTAAACTTTGTTTATCTTTAACACTGCAGCGGGCGCGCAATGAATTGGAAGTTGATCTGTCAGCACTATCCTTATCTTCAGGGCAGATGTTTTTATTTTATTTGGCTTATAATTCCTTACTGAATGTAGTATTTCATCTCGATGTACTCTGTCTTTGATATGATTTAAATCAAATTCCTCATCATTATAATTCTCTTCCGATAGCGAAAAAAGTGACAGAGGTTATTGAAAACGAAAATATTTCGATTGACAAATTAGTCGGTAGACACAGCAATTATAGGACTTGAACAGCGGAACTTTGTAACTGAACAAGAAATTATGTCTGTTTATAGAATTAAAGAGAATGTATTATCACATAAAAAATGAAGCAACTTAAACAACTTACATTGAAAGAAATGTTTAATAAAGTAAACAAATAAATATTAAGCTTTTTTTTTTTGTAAATTTTGATACCCTTTAGATCATAATTGTTCTTTATTTCATAAATTACGGTTTCATATTTTTAATTTTATAATTTCTTCATGCCATCTTACCAGATTTAAACTGATGATCTATAATCCAGAAAAATCGATAATCCGGAATCGCCGAAGTCCCGACGAATCTGGATTAACGACTTTTGACTGTATTAGCACAAAAAACAAAGCAACTTAAATAATTTACATTGAAAGAAATGTTTAATAAATTGCACAAATAAATATCAAGCTTTTTTTTTTTGTAAATTTTGATACCCTTTACATCATAATTGCTCTTTATTTCATAAATTATGATTTCATATTTTTAATTGTATAATTTCTGCACACCATCGTACCAGATTTAAATTGATGATCTATAATCCAGAAAATCCCCTAACCCGGAATCGACGAAGTTCCGACGAGTCCGGATTAAGGACTTTGTACTGTATTCCACTTTGGAATAATGAGTATAATGTTTCACACTTACAGAAATGAAACATGCCAATACTGTAATAAATAAATAATTTTTTTAATCTGATGGATGTCATACTAATAATTAATTAAAACATTTTATCACACGAAGTCAGCAAAACATATTATTTCTTAGTTTTATTATCAACCACTTTGAAACTATATTATATTTCACTTTGGAATGACAGGTATAATCTTTTACACTTATAAAAATGAGAATATGTAAAATAGATCAATCTTTTAGCATTATTTATATGCTTACTTATGTTCTGTAATAATCTCTGGCGACAGAACTAGCTTTTTGTACTCTTTTTCTGTCTATAGTTCAAGCTACATCGATATATTTTACTTTAAATTTTTTAATGTACCAAAAGAATATTTTCATGAAGGCAAATTAAAATGTAGTGCTAAACATTAAATTAATTTGTTTAAAAAACCATGAGAAAATTAAAATTGTTTATTATTTATTGTTATTATGTTTACAATAGCTACAGGAAAATGGGAAAAGCGAGCTAGTCCTCCCAGAGACACAGCTAATGCAGTTTAAGTTCTTTTCTTTCAGACAAAATCTCAACTACACTTCAAAAGAGGTAAAACAGTGCTCTTTTTAATATTTTTGACTAGTAGGTAAAAATATACTTAAAAGTGCTAATGCATAAAATGTTAGGGGATTAGCTTAGTTTACCTAGTTCATTGATGCCAGACCACTGCAAAATCATTTTCAGTTTTTCTTTTTTGAATGAACTATTCTCTTCACCTAAAATGCTTAAATTATAATCATCATGGCAGATGTTTTGATAATGAAAAAGCTAACTGTGAAAAATATTGTGGAGAAAATATTGTGGATCATTCTTAATAGGAAATCACTGAATTGCTATCAAATATGAGACATCTGAATGTTTCTTTCATATTATTATAACATTATATAGTTTATACATCATAAAAGATTAAGCAATTATACTTCTTAATAATATTTTATTTCTGAATGATACAAAACTATTAACTTTTTCTCTAAACCAAAGTCTAAACACTTTTGTGATTTTAAAATTTTAATATTTTTTATTCCTTCGCAATGATTTCTTCCTTATCTATTATTTATTATTTTGAGTTACCATTTTTACACCAAATATTCCTGCAAACTGTTAGGTGATCATAAGAATGTAAGAATTTTTACAAAAGTTCATATTAAATTAATGAAAGAATCTTTTTTTCAAGAGGGTGCAGAGAAGAGTCATTTTCATTAAAACTGTTTATGATTACATTGAACTTAAAAGAAAATTTCTTCGTTTCTTGAAACTCTATGAACAATGCTATTTTTGTTTTATACAAAAGAATTTATTTTTCACAGTCTGTATCATCTATATCAACCACAGCAAAATTCATCTTCCATAAAAAATTTTAGCACTTAAATATATATATATATATAACAAGCAAGGTAGTTAGTACAATACTGTATGACCAATTTGGTCTAGATAACATTTTGTGCAATATGCTGCAAAATATGTAAATTAGAAATTGTACTAAGCTTGCCTAAAAGTTACCAGGAGCTGTGGCTCCAAAAAGTTCAACACGTTTTAAGAAACAATGTCATTGAAGGGTGAGAAATATGCTACACAAGAAAGGACAAAAAAAAAAAAAAAAAAAACACAGTAAAATACTCAGCGTTGGAAACTAGTAAAGGCAAAAAATACAGTAAAATACCTATGGATGTGGCATTTGAAAAATTAATACATATGAAAATCAAACCAAGTAACAAGTAAAACATAAAAAAAAAAAAAAAAAAAAAAAAAAAAAAAAAAAAAAAACAGATAAAAATAGAAAGCGGAAAATGGTAAATTAGCTGAACTCGATTTCCAAACTGGCTTTTCAAGGGAAATTTCTGATTTGAACGTCGAATCAAACTAACCCCATTACGCGTTTCGCCGAAACAGACAATTGAAACTTTTTCGCTACAAAATTTTTAATTTAGACAAAGTGTCTTGGAAAATTTATTAGTCTCAATTCTCTGTTCCAATTTCCCGACGCGTCCGCACAAAATGACACATTAAGGTGTTAAAATATGTAAAAACTATTCCGATTACATCTAAAATCAAGACAAAAATAAAATAAAAATAAAAATAAATAGCGGTCTGCTATTAGTCCTAAATATACAAAAACATACGGGCTGGGCCTGCAAGCTTAAAGATTTATAATTTTATAGATTTTAGAAATCTGTAATTAAATTTAAAAGAAAATTAAGATGAAAACTAACATAGTGGGTCTTGCTAAGACCAAGAAAAAAGTTGTAACAAAAGAAACAGAAAAAACTGACCTGTGGCGATGCAGAGCTCTCCCTCTTAAAACTAAGTTGAAAAGGGGTTGTAATTCCCTTCTGTGTACTTCAGTTGTGTGACGTAAGTAGGGGGGAGCGATGTTTGGTGGGCATCAGCCAATACGAAAAGACTGTCCGTTAGCTGTAACTCGTCTCTAATTTTCGAAGGGGGTCGGAAAGCTCGGAAAAACGTGAAAAGATTTCAAAATGGCGTCAGTCATGTAGTTGGAAGAAAAAATTGTTACTGAAAGTGAAAATGGCTAATTCAGCTAAAACTACTAAACTTGGCCACAAAAGCAAGAGTAAAAGGAAAAAACAGTCATTTTGTTAATAAAAAGTCGTAATTCTTCAAGCTAGCGGGCGATCAAGCTACTATGAAAAACGAAAAGGCCCGATTTGTTAATAAAAGCAGTAAAATTGGCCATTATAGAAATTTAAAACTATTTAAACAATAGTATTAAAAGTAATGTGCCAAAATTTTGGAGGAAAGATAAATGTATAAACAAGAATTATCTGTACATTTTTTACATTAGATTCTCTGAATCAGCCATCCACCTTATACCGTCCTTTGGGCTTTAGGCATAAAATATCATTATCTAATTCAAAAAATCTAAAAATAGGTAAGGCTAATGCCAGCTTTTTTTAAGGTATTTTTAATTATTTTATGAGGAATTAGGTTACTTTTCAAAATAGTTACGAAGTATAGTATTTCTTCTTGTAAGTGTTTTGCAGTATTGCAGATTCTTTTTATTCTGAGTAGCTGTGAATAAATTGTGTTAAGTATGACTCTTTTGCATTTCAGATTTTAAATTACGTTCAAAGAGGCATTCTTTTAATGTTTTGTGTGTTACATTTATTTATTAAATATCATGTTTTACGTAATCAAATTATAAAATTCAGTTCAACAGCTATATTGCAAAATAATTTTAAAATGAGCATATCTTTAGAATTTCCGATACAAAGTCCTTGTGCGCTGGAGATAAAAATGTTTTTTTCGTTCGGTGTTGCCAATGCTCGCTCTGAAATCGTTTAGTTTGTTAATCAAAAATTCATTGAAGTGTTGCAAAATCTGAAATCGATAATAAAACAAATTTAAAATTTAAATTAGGGCTTCCACATGCCCATATTCTATGGAATATTACATTATTCAAATTTTGATGGCTCTAGATACCATTTCTTTATCTAATGTGAGAAACATACATACATTCATGCAGATTCTTCATTATTTAATTTCTTTAAATAATACAGGACGATAATGTTTGGTGGCAACAATTTGAAAAGTGATTCGCTGTTTATAGTTTTCAAAGCAAAATGCCAAAATGAAATTAATAGTCCTTCAGGGCAAATTGCCCCTTTGGACTAATAAATACTTACGAGAAGGCAAAGGCCACTAAAGCACATATCACAACTATAGCATCCAAAATATTCCATGGATCTCTACAGTAAGAGCCTGGATGGAAGATAATACCTTGATCCACAACCTAAAGAAATCAATAATTAGTCAAAAAAAAAAAAAAAAGAGCTCATATTACAGATAGTACAGATAATTTTTAGGAGCAAACTGGAAAGCACTTTTTCATTCCTTTAAGAAAATTAATATATTGAAGATTAAGTTGGAGAATACTTCTCAAAATAACATGCATAAATTAATTTTCTAATCTGTACCTGCAGGATTTCATAAATTTAAATTTTTGTCAGACAACAAATAATATTTTAACATATATATAACATGCATAAAATTTTTTTTCTTCTACTTGCTCTAGTATTTAACTAATTTTGCCTAAAATAGGTTTGTTTTATATCATGAAAACCATGACATACAAAAATCTAGTTATGTGACACTTGATCAGGATTTATAAATTAACACATTTTAATACAATCATTAATAAAATACTCACCTTTAAAATCATTTCAACTGTAAACACACCTGTGAAAGCATAATCAAAGTAATTCAATATCCTATTACTTTCTGAATCCTCAACAACGGGATCTTCTGCTGCTAATGACATACTACTTAATGAAATGATGATCATAATGAAAAGGTCGAAATATCGCATATTCACAACATAATGTGCAGCACAACGGATGCTAAATAAAAAATAAAAAATAAATAAAAAAAAAAAAAAACATACATAACAATAAATATATTTTGGAAGAACATAACTCTACATGCCATATATAAATACATATTGCACTTTAAAAATGCATGTTATTTTAAAAATACACTGCATATGAAAAATAAATAACATTACAAATTTATTTGCATTTTAGTCAACTTTAAATACATTTCTTCATGACAATCTAAAGACATATCTCAAAAAGGATTTGAAACTAATCTGTTAAGTTCACTGCATGTATCCTTTAATTATCCATATAAACATATACCTCATTTAATTAAGACACAATAACACGCCGAATAAATACTAATTCAGAAGTCAAACAACAAAAATCAGCGTTATATTTACAAAATTTTCACAGGACTACTTTCGATGGTTTTACCGAACCACCATCCTCAGCTGCAAAACCGCAAATGAACAAGATAGGAAATAATGATTAGATAAGATAAGAAAGCCTGGACAAGAATAAGCAAGTGGCGTCATCTGTTGGTGAAACCAGAACTAAAACATAATTTCTTTAAAGGCCGAAGGCAAATTTGGATTGGAATTAGGATCGTTAACTAGAACAGAAAGATTTTATGAATGTGAAATGCCCTGGAAATCCAGTTCTCCAATGGAAGATGTTTTTTGAATAATTTTGGCAGCAGAAAATTGAAAGTGTGGTTTCGGACCAACATGTTGAGCAACAGAAGACTTCTGTGTTTCCTTTTTTCTGACATATGCCTCATGTTCCTTGACTCGAAATTTTAAGGCTCTCTTAGTTTGGCCAATGTAAATTAAACCACACTGGCAAGGAATCCTATAAATACCCCAGGAATTCATATCCGGAATGGGGTCCTTGAGTATGGAACTCGGAATTTTATTGATGGGAGAATAATACCATCGAAACTAGTCCTGTGAAAATTTTGTAAATATAACGCTGATTTTTGTTGTTTGACTTCTAAATTAGTATTTATTCGGCGTGTTATTGTGTCTTAATTATAGAAGCCCCAAACAGGCTTATTTTTTTATTTCTTTTTTGCACGTGGTGTGGCCGCCATTTTGTGATTGCATGAGTTTCGGTAAGTACTTTTTTTTGCAATTTTCAGTTAATTTATTTTGTACATTTGGATATTGTGCTTTGCTTGTCTGATTTAATGCATTTTGCTTACAAACGTTTTTGTTTTCTATTAATTTCATGAGGGATTTTCTGCTGTTTTTGTGTGTGCTTTATTATTGTTTAGTTAATTTAGTTTTTTTTTCTTATTGTTTATCATGCCTTCATCCGTTAATCGTTTCACTAAATTACGCCTGAAACGGCAAAAATTCCTCAATCATCTTGACTTTTTACTTAAATGTAAATGTAAAAAATTGATTCCCAATTTTATTCAAATCAAATCTAATCAAAAACCTTCGAGTCGCGTTTCAAGAATTCTGTTAAATTGCAAGCTTGCCTTACTTCGATCCGTCATAAGGGATACACGTCAACAATTGTCCAAAATTGAAAACTCTATAAGCTTCATCTGGAAATCGCTAAATCATATCCAAATTTCACTGCCCTTGAACAAAAGTCTTGGTCTAGAATGGAGAATGCAGTTAATCGTCATAAAAACACCCTTGCAGTTAAATTCGAAAAACTTCTTTTACAATCTTCCAGTTCAAGTAGTTGAAAAAAATCTTCCCATTGTAAACATCAACAAACAATAGTTAATATTCTAATGTTGTCTTTCAGAAGAACAAAGAGAATTCTAAAATATAATTTTAACTTCTCACAAACCTGTAAACCCTCGATTCCAAAGATTTTGGCTCCTATCGAAAAAGCTTTCAAGTTCAGTAAAGTTTCAGATTCACAGAAAGAAATGATTAGGCATCTTATCGCTCATAATGTGAAATTCAATAATAACCTTTGAAACCAAATCTAACTGTGAGAGAAAGAGCTACATTGCGTGAAATTCATTCTAACCCGGATATTATTATGTCAAAGGCCGACAAGGTGGCCAGATAGTCGTCATGGATAGGAACACTTACATCGATGGTGTCACTAAACTCTTAAACGAAGGACCATATAATCCGATCCCTAAAGATCCTACACCTTCGGACTTGTCAAAATAAAACTGCGATCAAATGTTCGCAAATCATTTCAGGCAACTTAAAACATTCCTTATCCTATCTGTTGCGAATTGTGCCAGATTATATGCTCTTCCCAAAATTCATAAAAGTGGTATTCCTTTCCGCCCTATTTGTATCAAATTTAGGTACTGCCTCATATCCATTAGCTAAATATTTAGATTCTAGATTTTCAACTCTATTAGACAATAACACTTTACACATAAAAAATTCAATAGAGTTTGTAAAAAAAGGTTAAAACATGTTCTCCTAGTAATTTACTCATGGTTTCTTTTGATGTAAAATCATTATTCACCAATGTCCCAGTGGAAGGTGCATTAAGATGTCTAGAAACCAGACTTCGTGAATTTCATTTCTCTTGCATCGAAATTGATGAGCTAATTTCTCTCACTCAACTCTGTTTGAAACAAACACAGTTTGTTTTCCAAAATAAATATTACAAGCAAACTGAAGGATTAGCCATGGGAAGCCCCCTCAGTCCCATCCTGGCTGATATCTACATGCATTATTATGAATCAAAATTGTTTGAAACTTCAAAATTCCCGGCATGGTTCCGCTACGTAGACGATACTTTTACTCTGTTTGAAGGTAATAAAGATGATTTAAATAAAGTTCTTTCGACAATGAATTCTATTGATCCTGCTATTCGGTTCACTTTTGAACTTCAGACTTGCAATTCTCTTCCGTTTCTCGACATTCTGGTCACACGTAACACATCCAACTTCAGTACTACGGTTTACCGTAAACCTTCATCGGTTTGCCTTCCACCACACTTTAAATCATGTCATCCGACTAAACAAAAGTTAGCTTCATTTTATTCCTATGTTTTCCGTGCTCTTCAAGTTTGCTCCTCCAAACTAGCCCTTGATGAAGAACTAAATTATTTAAAAGCAATAGCTATTGACAGGGGCTTTTCACCCAACGTTATCAAGCAGTTAAAAAATTCTCATCTCAACACACTAAAAGGCACACTCTTGTTTTAGGAGATTATAAAAATTCTGTTGTCATTCCTTTCTTTCCATCAATTAGCTATAAAGTTGCACATATTTTGCAGAAATTTAACTTTCGGGTTGTTCATTCTCCCATCAATAAAATTCTGAGTTCCATACTCAAGGACCCCATTCCGGATATGAATTCCTGGGGTATTTATAGGATTCCTTGCCAGTGTGGTTTAATTTACATTGGCCAAACTAAGAGAGCCTTTAAAATTTCGCGTCAAGGAACATGAGGCATATGTTAGAAAAAAGGAAACACAGAAGTCTTCTTTTGCTCAACATTGTTGGTCCGAAAACCACACTTTCAATTTTTCTGCTGCCAAAATTATTCAAAAAACATCTTCCATTGGAGAACTGGATTTTCTAGAGGCATTTCACATTCATAAAAATCTTTCTGTTCTAGTTAACGATCCTAATTCCAATCCAAATTTGCCTTCGGCCTTTAAAGAAATTATGTTTTAGTTCTGGTTTCACCAACAGATGGCGCCACTTGCTTATTCTTGTCCAGGCTTTCTTATCTTATCTAATCATTATTTCCTATCTTGTTCATTTGCGGTTTTGCAGCTGAGGATGGTGGTTCGGTAAAACCATCGAAACTAGTCCTGTGAAAATTTTGTAAATATAACGCTGATTTTTGTTGTTTGACTTCTGAATTAGTATATACCTCATTTGTCTTACATAGTTACCAGTTTTGCATAAAATTCTGTTGCATGCTGAATTCAATTAGAATTTTACTCTTCTGATCAAAAACATATCAGTTAAAAAGTCAAATACCTACCAAATCACCAACAGCTAATACTTAATTCTGTTAGTGTGGGCCACTGCTAAATGGGATTATGAATAAATACATTTCACATTACCAGTTTTCCAATTGCAAAAGTCATTAATTACAACTTGATTATATTTATAACTTAATGAAACTGGAGGGAAAAACAAACTGCACCTTTTTCATACAAACTTTTCATTTGATACTGGAGATACTTTCCTCTTTTAACTAATGAGAATCCCTTGTTTTTAACAATAATAAGATTATGGCATATTTTAGTCATATGCTTTATTTTTTTTATATCTCATTATATTTTATTCAACATGAAAAAAAAATCCCAAACTAAAGAAAAGTGGTTAACGCTCACCGATTAAATTCCTTTACTGCAATAATACACTCATCAGACACTCATCTGACTGGCTGGTTGGAAATTACTTGTGAAATTTTTTACAAGAATTTTGTTTTTGTAGGTATTGGACACAAGTCTCTTCTAATTTTAATCATATTTATCTATCCCGTTGTAAAGAAAGTTTTCTGTCAATTGCTTATAAAGTTAGAAAAAAACATGAAGCAGATCCTTAGTGCAGGTAGTAATCATCACCCAATCTATGATTTTCTGCCGAGTTTTGGTAGTTTTTTTGGAAGCCTTTGGCCCAGAAACTTGGTGAACATGAACCAAACAGATCACCTCCTTCACCGTGCAGAATGGAAGATAACATCAACAATATGTAGCTGCAGGTGTGAGAAAAGAGCATGTGGGGGGCTATATGTGTGTGGGCCAAAAAATATACAAGTTCTTATAAAGACACCCAGTGAATGGAGACATGTGGTCTTCCACATTCCAGGCGGGCCACATCATATTAGGCGGCCAGAGCACTCTTTTCTTGAATGTCATTTTGTTTTTGAACTTTGGTATCTTTAACTAATGAGATCCCTGTAGTTTTGCTAAATGAGATTATGAATAAATACATTTCACATTACCAGTTTTCAAATTGCAAAAGTCATTAATTACAACTTGATTATATTTATAACTTAATGAAACTGGAGGGAAAAAACAAACTGCACCTTTTTACAATACAAACTTTTCATTTGATACATGGAGATACTTTCCTCTTTTAACTAATGAGAATCCCTTGTTTTTAACAAATAATAAGATTATGGCATATTTTAGTCAATATGATTTATTTCTTTTATACCTCAATTATATTTTATTCAACATGAAAAAAATCCCATAAATAAAGAAAAGTTGGTTAAATGGCTCAACGATTACTTAAAATTTCCTTTACTGCAATAAATACACTCATCAAGATACTCATCTGACTGGTATGGTTTGAAAATTACTTTTGTGGAATAATTTTTTAAAGAAATTTTGTTTTTGTATGGTATGTGGACACAAGTCTCTTCTAATTTTTTTAATCATATTTATATATCTGTTGTAAAGAAAGTTTTCCGTCAAAATCGTTCTTAATAAAGTTAGAAAAAAACATGAAAGCAGTATTCTTAGTGCAGGTAGTAGTCATCACCCAAATCTATGATTTTCTGCCGACGTTTTGGTAGTTTTGGAAGCCTTCAGCCCAGAAACTTGGTGAACATGAAACCAAAAACAGATCAACCTCCTTTCAGACATACTGTGCAGAATGGAAGATAACATCAACAATATGTAGCTGCAGGTGTGAGAAAAGGAGCAATGTTGGGGCTATATGGTGTGTGGGGCAAAAAAACATATAATATAAAGACAAGAGACACCCAGTGAATGCAGACATGTGTGGTCTTCTTCCACAAGTTCTCAGGCGGGCCACATCAATATCAGTAAGCCGGCCAGAGCACTCTGTTTCTTGAATGTCATAGTCCTTGTTTTTGAACTTTGGTACCAAACCTGCACAGTATCATATGATACAACATTTGTACCTAAAACTGTACACATGATTTGGTGACATTCTGTAGCTGACTTTGGGTAACAGAACTAGAAGTGAATGATGGTTTTAATCTGGTAGCATGATAGTTCCATTTCAGATACCTTGTACTTAATGATAACAATATGTTTTTACCAATTTCACAACCCAGTGTTCTAAAGCAAGTCTCTTTCTTTCAAACGGCAAAAATTGTTTGACAAAATATGATTAAACATGCTAATGTGAACTGTTTGGGCAGACAATATTTGCAGTGATGGGAAACTTCCGTTAAAAACCAATAATTAATTATACATAATTATTACCCATGCAATATCTGATCAATCTATAAAAGTGGCCACTTTTTTCTTTGGTATTATCCAATAGTAGAATTATTATTCTTATTATTCAGTGTTCACAAATGAATAAAAACTGCCATACATTTCATCAGTAATAAGTAATTTGTTTTAATAACTATAAAACTGTAATTTTTTTTTCCACCAATACCTGAGACAAAATACAGATTGTCCAGAGAATGCATACCTCAATGCACTGTCATTAGATTCATATAATAGTCTACAACTGCAATTAATCAAATTTTATGGCCCATTAATAAAAAATTAATATCTTAAAACTATGAAAAGAACATACTTGCATACTATAGCATACTGTGAAACATGTGGAAGTTACTGAAATAGCAAAATGAATTGAGATCAGTTTTCAGAATAATTTTTGAAAGAAGGGTGTTCAAATAAAACTTGTTGATTATTCTTATTCTTCTTCTTTTTTTTTTTTTTTCTTTTTTTTTTTTTTTTTTTTTTTTAAGATTCTGAAATTCTGTGCTGCTGTATAATTTAGAATGCACTTTAAGAATTTGAGAATGTTCATTAGGTACCAACAGTTCACTTCCAAATACACTATACTGCATGTTGATTCAACATAAGATTTGAATTTTTCAGTATTGTAAAAAGGCACAATTAAAGTCATCATATAAGTTAGTTGAGCATAAGATATATTTAATTATGGCATTTACATCTAAATTATTATTTAAAATTAACATTTTTAGCAGGCAAAATAAAATATTAATAACTAAAGCTTTAATAATAGAGTTTTCACTCACGGATTATTTGAAGAAAAAATAAACATAGAGGAGTATGGAAGCATTGGTCTAGGACCAGTAATATCATCATCTCTGGCATCCAAATCTTGAGCTCCTTCTTCATCTATTGAAATCAATCCAAATTATAACAAAACATAGAATAAATTGTAGTATAATCTACATCAGGGTTTCTTAAACTGTGGGTTGTGACCTCCAAGAAGGTCACAGTACCTGCAGGGGGTCGTCAAAAATTTTAGTAGTTTTGATATTTCTTAAACTTATTATAATAATTTTACAATTACCAAATATTTTTACACAATGTATCTGAAAATAGATAAAGATAAGACAATACAGACAAAGAAAAAAACGGAAACGTTTCGACGCATTCTTTTTATAAAATAAACGTTCATTTTCCTTACTTTGCATGTGACGCTGTCATTTCGACTGTTACTTATTTAAAATTTTCAAATTGTTCTATGCCTTAGAATTAGAAATTAAAGTTAATGACCTAAAACTGCAATAGTCCATTACAGTACAATTGTGAAAAAATTGACAGTTTCACTCACGCGTGTGTCAGATTTGTGCAATACTTATGGTTAATGCTTGTGCCCACAAAATTTTTGTAAATATTATGGGGTCCTGGGGGTTGCAAAAAAATCTCAGTGATAAAAGGGAGTCGCGACTGAAAAAAGTTTAAGAACCCCTGATCTAGATCATAATATACATAATCTTATAATACAAAATTTTAGGTAATTATATATTGACTGTAACCATTAAAATCATGAATATGTAATTTTTTAACCTTTCATCAATAACTTTCTAAATTTATTTTTCAGGACAAGGAGAATATTTTACCTTTGTTAAGAAAGGAAAATACATCTTATATAAGATGCTAATAAATGAACTATTGAAAAGAAATTGAAAAATTAAATCCAAATTAAAATTTTATTATTTCTGTAAAAATTAATATCACAACAAGAAGTTTGAGTTTGGTGTAGATTAAAGTCAAGATCTCAATCGATTTCGACGGCAAAGAGGTTCAGGTCCCTCTTCATCAGAAGCAGAGAAATATGCAAGACTGGAAAACAGTAAGTATAATGTTCGTATTTATACTCCATAGTAAGGCAAAACAAGAAAGTAGCGTGATTTGTCAGTAAAAATATTAACAAAATTCAAAAGTTAATGGAATTTTAAAAGCATTAGGAAAGATTGGATTGGACTGTCTATGCTGTCTCTTAGTACCAGCAAAGCAAACAGTTAAGACGATAGAACTTTAGAAGTGCCATACTGTCATTAAAAAAAAAATGGTTAAAAATAATAGCTTAGGGGGAATGGGGGAGCACTTCTCTGTTAACCAGAACCAGAACACTTGCTGATTTCTGTGTTTTGGGTATATTTCTGTGGTGCCAGATATTCCTAATTTGAGTTTGTATTCTTCATGGTGATAATTGTCTTTATGACTACCACTTGCTTTTCAATATAAATGTTCAATCAATATAACTTATTTCTTTCCCACATTTTTTTTATTGCAGTGGGGTTTTAGGATTTAGCATCTGTGAAGAGATGAAAAGCAGCTATCCTATTTCTTCAATAAAGAGATGCTCTTCACACAGAAAAACCTTATTAGAATAATCACTCCATGAAATTAAAATGTAACTCAAAGCAGAAATGGCTATACAGCTGTGTGGGAAGAAAAAGTGCTCAAATGCACAGTTTTGTTGGATCAATCATGCCTTTCATTACTGCTGTATGATTAATTTATTTATGAATTGTATGGCAGCAACAAAAGGAAAGTCTATTAAGATTTGAGAACAAAAGCTTGTTTGAAATTAATTGCAAACAAGAAATGATTGGAATAACTACATAGTATGAAAGTAATGTGATAATTCCTAGTTATACTAACACTAAAATGTATGGATGCAACAAAATTGGGAACTGATGAAAACTAATGAACAAAATTATAACAACAATAATAATAATAATGTAGGTTATGGGTTTTCCTTATAATGAATGGGTTTTCGGAGCATTTATTGATGAAAGAGAAAATTCCTTGATTATAATGTAGGTTTGTTCTTTCCTTATAATGGGTTTTGGAAGCATTAATTTATGCAATTAAAGAATATTCCTTGTTGTTGTTCTTGAACATTCTGTTTCATCTATTATTAAGCCAAAGACATGGTGAAAGAAATAAATTACAATGTATCAATATGGCAGCAAAAAGAGTATGTTATGGCTTTAACATAAAAAGACCTTTAAAAAAATCCCATATGTTGAAATAGCAATCTCATGACTTCATTCAGTAATGAATGAGTATAGTACTGAATAGAGAGAGAGACATAAATAATGCTGCAATCCTATACAAAATCAAACAAAGGAGACAGTAGAGTTCCTCCCTCTTATTCTACTAAAGTAAATGTCGATGAACCTAGTGAAATGTTAAGATACTTATCGCTTAATTCAAATAACAGAAATCGTAAAATCAAGAATTAACTACCCTTTATTTCACTCAAAATAAGGTGAACAGTCGGCCCCTTTATTCAGACTTTAAACAAAGCCTCCACTCTGGCTTGAAATCAAAATAAGAAATAAGAACTATAACTAAGCAAGAGACGTAGCTGAAGCTAACACAAATCTAACATAGTTGGCCCTTAATTTAAACGAGCCAGCAAATATCAAAAGGCACGTAATATACGGCCAAGCATAACAGCTTCTAGAGACTTAGCCTGAAGGCAAACACATGCTACTCAGGATTCCTAGCTCTCTACCTCGAAGCATGTTAAACCTTCCTTAAATACTACTTCTTACTCATTGGCATTCAATACAATTTTAAAAACTCATTCTGGTAGGGAGTTGTAAGTTGAAACAAGGAACGATAAGGAAAGTACAAATAACTGTTATAAAATTAAAATATACCTTACAAGATAAAGCACAAACATGATACGGGCAAAAAATGTAACAATAAATCACACTTATGGTGATCTTCCTTTCTTATTATAAACTTACTTTATAGCATTAAAAATATTTCCATGAAATTTTGCAATTAGAAGATTTTCTGCGTACGATTTAATTTTGATGCTTTATTTTATCAAGAAACGATGCTTATTATGTTCATAGTTTAATGCTTATCATACCAAATATGTCATAATTTTAAATTTCACTTTATAAAGGAATAAAAATATGTAATTTTTTCATATAGCAGATAGCAATTTAATATTTAGCTTAAGTGCATTTAAATTCTATACTTTGATTCCTTACAGTTCTTTGGTGTTCATTAAGAAAGAATATCATCATATTTTATACTATAAAACAAACATCAGATAGTTCAAGTAAACCTAATTCTGTTTTTTAGATATATTCCTGAAAAATACAAGTAAAAACATTCATGTAAAAAAAGGCAACATATCTATGGGGGGAAAAGAAAAGAAGATTGGTTACTCATCTTAAAAATCAAATAATTTTAAAAAAGCTTTCTGAAAATATTCATTTTGAGCTTATTATTTATTCTATTTCAGCAATATTCAAGAAAGTAAATATGCATTTAAATTGAAAATAACTCATGAACCCCCAAAAAAGTGATGTATATGCTTGCATATGATTGGAATATCACTGTCATCACTAGAAATACTCTGAACATCGCTTCCTTCCTCTACTAATGAAATTCCTTCTGTGATGACCTGAGCAAAATCAGCACGAGTCTTTCTTGGTGATGATGTTTCACTGTTTTATGAAAAAATTCAATTATTAATCCTTGTGTTCACATTTCAGTTAGGCAATTATATAATTATCTGTAAAAGGCTGTCAACAATTTCAGTTCACATTGAAACTTTGCAGCATGTCCCGTATTAGAGTCATGTTTGACAAAATGATCAGCCAATTTTCTAGCCAGTTTCATACATTCTTTTATTAAAACTGCATTTAAAATTGGATCATTTTCTTCCTAATCACTATGTTTTGTGGAGTTAGGAAACTCATAGGCAATTTCTGATATTTCATCCTTGCTTAGGGCTTTGTCAAATAACAGTATATCAATATCTTCAAATGATACATCATTGAAGCCTCCTCCATCAGTTGTGTGTGCCACTGTAATGACACAGGGAAATTTAGTCATATTAGGATGATGAGGTCTTTGCTTTTTACACATTGTGGCCAAACTGCTTTTCAACATGCATTCAAAGTTGCTGGTTTGAATTTTATTAATGCTAATCCAACTTGATTGATACAACCTGTAGTTCATTTCTTCCACACATTAGTGACTATTAGTGTTTTATCATTTAATTTGCCCAAAATGTATTGGAATGTTTGTTTTAAGTAGCATGTTTTAAATGCTGCAATTATAACACTGATATAGCAGTTGTAACAAAGATGTAGTATTAAATGCAGAAATAAAACTTGTAAATTTTAAGTTAATTATGTTATTATGATTTATGTGTTTTATGTTATTATGATTTGAAATCTTCAACTTCTTCCCATGGTAATCACCATATTGCAAATTAGTTGTATAATTATTTAAGCCAAGGGTTTGAATGTTTTAGTGCTAGAGCTTTAGGCAGCCTTGTTTGCAATTTACATTCTATTGCCAGCTTTGCCAAGAATTATTTCAGCTTTAGCCATTTTGCTAGCCAACATTAAAAATGCACCATTAAAATAACTGAGCCAGCTTAAGCAGACCATTTTGTGTAGTATCCAACTAAATTACTTAAATCTGAATTTTTAGTATGTCATTGTAAACTCCCACAAGTAACAGAGGTTTGTTTTATAAGAGTAAGTGATGTCTAAGGTTAAGTTTAGGGAGTTAATAAAAATAGTTATTTTAACCTTCACAGGACATTGTAATTTTCATTCAACCTACAGCAATAACTCATTTATCAATCTAGTAGGGCCTGAAGGATACTGATATAAGCTTCTACACAAATAAGAACCCTACACGCTTGGGTATCTCAAGACAGAATGTCTAGGTGCATTATCAAGAATTTAAACTTCAAATTCGAGACCTTTCACATTCGTACCGCATCTGACTTCTGGGAAGAATCATTTGTTGAACCATTCCGTGAAGATAGCATTCTTATTTACCATCCAGTGATCAGGCATTTATTAATATTTATACCTTTCACTGAACTTGGGTTTACAGTTTTACTTATTAGCAGTGGTTTCAACATATAATCTCTTGCCCTGGAGCAAAATAATAAGGCTACATGATCTTAACTGCTTTAAAACCACCAGCGGTTTTCTGCAATTTGGCTACATACATTCTGCTTGGTATTTATTCCCATAAAAGACCACTTTCATCTGCATTCTACACTTGATCAGGAATGTATTCTTCATCAATAATTTTAGTAAATTCCTACAGGAATACTTTGGCAGCCAATTCACCTGAAGATGCAGTTTCACCTTTAATTTTTATATTAAGAACAGTATGCCTTTTAAGAAATCCTGTTACCAGCCTATACTTGCAGAAAATTCAGACTTGATATGAAGTGTTTAGCTTCTGTTTTTTAATCTGCCTATAAATTCTTAGTGCTACTTACTAGATGGTATTTCCATCCACTGGTACTTTTTCTTGCAACTTATCTTTCATCCACATTAGCAGAACTTTTTCCATTTTCTCCTTCAAAATATCTCTTTTATATGATAATGAATTAACATTAACATTTGTTCCTGAACATAACAACTACTTAACTACAGTTACATTTTTTATCATAGTTCTTGCAGTAGCTTTATGTACATGAACATGTTTTCCTATAAACATAGCATCTTGTTCAGTTGAACGTAAAATTTGAAACAATTTCAAAGAAATTGCTTTCCATTTCATTTTGATAGTAAGTTAATTATGTAACATTATGTGTAAGGACTAACAAAAGTATTTCAATTATTATTAATAAAAAAAGATATGAAAAATTTGTTAAATTTACAACTTTCAGCAAAATTAATAAATTTATATGTACATGAATTTCACTAAAGGTTCTTTCATTCTGAAATAGAGCTATATACTAAATTTGTTTCAAAATGTTGGTTTCAAATCCAAATTCTAAATACACATGGCTTGAGAGTATTTGGAAATTAGAATTTGAATTGATATTGCAATAAGTAATCATATGACTTACTACTCACTGTGGGGAGATACTTCATTCTCCTACACTAGCTGTTTTTCAATCTATTTGAACATGTGTCTATTGCTAGTCACAAATAAAAATTGCTTACCTTAGAATTTAAAGAGGGGGAACTTAGAAATTGGCTTGGCTCATTCGTATTAAATTAAAATGGTACATGTGAAAAAGGAATGAAACAGTTTGAATTTGTGCTAAAGCAAATTCGTGTAAAAACAGAATTAAGTATGCTTGCAGCATAAAAAGTTGGGATACACACATAATGTGCAATGAATAAACTAATGTTATTATTACAGTGCAAAGTTAACATTGTACAAATAGTTGTATGCTGAACTTGTAGCATACAGCTATTACAAAATTTTAAAATATTCTGTACTTACCATCATCCGACAAATCACCAGGCTTCTTTTTCTCATTTTTATCATCTAAATTTACAGCTAATATATTATCCTTTGCCCTGGAAGAAAAAAAAATTACATATCAAAACAAGCACATATAATACACATCAACTTGAAAGCATTTAAAATCAATGTATTAGAAGAATGTTTGTATATTTTTTCAATCCCTGTTTAAAAATAAATAAATAAATAAATAAAAATTAAGAGACAGGAATTGTTGAAATTTTTAACATATTTTGAATCATCTTCTTTATGTACTTATAGGCTGTTTTTATTAGTTTCCTGGAAATAAATACATTTTCAGGTTACATATCTTAAATTATAATAATAATGTTATAATTTTAAGATATTTTGTTTATACACCTTCCTCTTAAATATTATAAATTAATATTTTTGGATTTCTCATAACATAATGACTCTTTTTTTTATATTGGATGCACCTGGTTACATTAAATCAATATTTTTTCAAAGCTGTTGAACAATCAGTAATTCAAGAACACTATATATTAGGCACTCAATGTTATGGCTTAGTAAAATTTTGACAAAATAAAAATTGCATGCATAATACACATAATACTACTACAATATTATTTTTTCTTTTTTGTTGGGAGGAGGGTTGATAATATTTGTTATTTTAGCTCACTTATCGACATCCTCCTCCTTGTAACTAAAATATATTTGTTTTTGAATTATGAAGGATTTTCAAAAATTCAGATTTAAAACAAAATACAATTGCAAAATGCAATTAAATGCAAAACAAAAATTATCGAAGTATGCATACACAATCCTACTCTTTAATATTCAGAGTAGATGATTGTATTGAATATCTAACTAAACAGATTCATCTTTCAGCAAAATACCTCCATTCCAATCTGCAATGTCTACAAAAATCTGAGAAACAATTCTTGAATTTACAGGCAAAGATTATGGTTTTTTGGCCCCCTTTTTCAATTTGTTCTCTATGTAATTATAAACTTTAACCTTTTCTTAGTAATTATTTTCAAATTCAAAATGGCATGAAAAGAAAGATAAAGTTTTGTGTTGTGCATGCAATACGTCTATAGCCAATTGGGGAAAAAAATTCAAAAGTATAAAAAAGGTGATATTTACCCATTGCCAGCATTGACTTGGGGGGAGGGAGGACAAATATTGACTTCAGGTGGCTGAAGCCCCAGCAATTCTTTTTCTCTCTCCTGATGGGCTCTCTGAGGGGGAAAAATAAGATAAATAAACTAAAGTGTAAAAGTATAGGAAACTAATATAATTTAATAAACAATTATACAATAAAACAGGCACTAGAATGCTAATTCTGTAAATCTGCCAGGGTTTATCTCTGTTTAGTTTAATGAAAATTTGGGCTACTGTGTGAAAGTTGTTTCAGATTGATACCATTTATTCTCAAGATTACTCAGGACAATAGGAAAACAGTTAGATTTTAATCCCATTTTGAATAAGTGATATGATCAAAATGAATAGTAAAAATTTAATACTATTCATGATTTGAAATTTATTACTGTTGCTCAATTTGATGCTGACATTTAGCAACTACATAATTTTTTTTTCATTCTAATTTTAATTTCTTACAGTCTCCTACAAAAATACCATTTTTCTTTTTTGAAAAATAGGAGCTTCTTTTTAAAGTATTCTTGTTTGCAGTTTGATCTTGAAACTAGAATGTTTAGGTAAATGGACAAGTTAGGTAAACCAAATTTTAGATTTCAGCATTTGACTGTAATTACTGATCAGACTAGGGAAGGATCATTAGAAGCACTCATGCCATTTTTCGCATTTTGTTTGCTCACTCTCCTCTATAACTTCCATAGTGTTTTTCCTTTTATAATACTCTGTGAAATTAAAAGCAGATGAGTAAAATGCCTAATTACTAGTGTTTGGACGATGGAATGAGGTGAATACAGATTTAAATGTAATGTGCATCTTATGAAAACACTTTAAAGATATTGTGTCCATAGAGAGAAATCTTTTGCAAGTTTGTCCAAGAGTGATATTTGTCTATTTCAGCTAGGTATAACAGGAGCTCAACAGTTTTTAATTCTCTTGTGATCTTAATGCAGCCATAGTAAGCTAAGTTTTAAGAGTTATTATTTCCAAAAGAGGTTACCAGAGGTTACTTCAAAAGAAAACTTTCTGTTTGTGCTCCCGTTCTTTTCAGTGCACAAGAAATCCCATTTAGCATGGTGCAGAAAACATCATTTTTGGAAAAAGCATAAGTGGGAGACTATTATCTTCACTGATGAGTTCTGATTACTTATTTTATTACTGAATCTTTATCAACTCTCACATCAACATTTACAAGCATGCATCACTGCCAGGATGTTTAATCAGTTACTGATTTGAACACTCGGTATGCAATTGCTAGCTACTGATAGGTTCTATGGCTTTAAATATTTAATAATTTTATTTCCAGTGTATGAGTTTTACGCATATTTAATTTCAATAAAAACAATCACTTTCTTCATGGTGCCTCATTTCTTTGCAAAAATTTTTTAAAATAAATCTGTTTTCCTCTAATATGTTAATTAATGTTGAATTCTTCTATACCTTTTCCAATTAAATTATCTGTCATCTTAGAAAAGAATTATTTCTAAAACTGATGATGAATCTTTGATGAATGATTGATGAATCTCTTTAAAATTCTGAAGTGAAATTTTCAAAGAGAAAGAAAAATAGTTCAGCTTCAGACAAATTAACAATTACCTTCCAAACTACTTCAGCTCTCCAAATACAATATGAAGCATTTCTGTTCATAACTCGTACATCAACATTTTCAAAATTATTTACTGAAATATATATATTTTTTAATTTTATTTTTCTCTTTTTTAGTCTATTTTTATATTTATCTAGAGTACTTTAAAAACATAATCTGGCTATGTTCCAAGATTTAATAAGTTAACCAAAAGATAATCATACTTTGCACTTTTAATCATGCAAATACATTTGAAAACTTTTTTTTTAAGTTGTGGGGAAAAAAAAAAACCCTCTTAAATAAAATTAAAAAGATTCTTTTAATAACTGATATAGATAACTGTATCAATAGAGTACTGGTTCCCACTGGCTAAGTATCAGCTACTGCCAGAGATACTTTTAATAATAGCAAACATAATATCATTAAGGAAAATATAAAGAAAAAGCTAATCAAGTGACTAAATTTTCAAATCATCAAATGTTTTAATAATTATTAGGATTAAGGTTTCACCAAGCTTTTGTAGGGAAAACATACCTTTATTTCTTTTTATAGGGAAAGCAGAATCGATCTCAAAATGGGAATTCATAGTCAATTTAAATATAAAAACATCTTTCTGTTACTAACAAACTATAAAACCAAAGTAAGACTTTCCTTACTTTGATTTTATATTAGCACAACTATAAAACTGACCTCTTTTTCAGCATCTGCTTCTTCTTGTGCTAAAGTGAGCTCCTGAGCATTGGCTAAGTTATCAACAGCAATGGCCAAAAATACATTTAACAGAGTATCTGATTTTGTTAAGCAAAATGCATAAAATGTGAAACAAAACATTACGATAAACAGAGCATATTAAAATTAAATAAGATGTGCATTTGCTGCTAACATTTGCTTTAAGCACATATATTGATTCTACTGAGAGACTACACTGCAGCAATTAGTTCAGCATTTATTCTTATGGACAATAATGCATATCCATACAAAGCAGATACCTGATGGATTGACTAACATAACCCAAGAGTATTTTGATTTTTCTTTTCACTTAAATGAAGAGTTTTATTTCATTTTTCAAACAATCTTAACAAAATTGAGACTGTACTAGTATATAAAACATTTTTCACATATCACAAAACTTCTTAATATACCTATTACTGCATTTTATTGTAAATTACATTTTAATGATTTCAGCTTTTTACTTTAAAATGATCAACTATTCAATAATTAATGAATAATCATACTTAATACGAAAAAAAATTCATCTACAGCTGATTCTTCACTCAATTTAATATCAATGTTATTAAAACTGTGACAAATATTTTTTGGGCCAGTTTTTATTAAAGATATTTTTTTCAGTTATAATGCCTTGTTGAAAATAACAAGCCATCATAAATGTCTTGTTACAGCATTAAAATTATCAGCTATTCAATAATTAATGAATAATTCCATGCATGATATAGGGAGAAAAAGCAGTTTCATCTGCAGCTGATACTTCAATCAATTTAATATCAATATTTCTATTTATTAATAAAAAGAAAAATATTTTGGGGACCACCTTTCTATCAATGACATCCTTTCAATTATAATGTCTTGTTGAAAATAATTATAGTAGTATGAATTCTAAAAATTTCCATGCAAATTTCTACTGATTCTTCTAATCTAGTATATTACCAATAGAACATAAAAAGGAAAGTCTGATTTCTAAAAATGTAACAGTGTTAAAATTTAAATATGTCATAAAGAAAAAAAATGGTTGTGATTATCTTTGCTTGAAATAACACATGATATCCAACAAGCCATCTTTTTTGCTGCTAACATAGATTACAATAATATAAATAGCAATATGATAAACTATAAAGGTAAATATTAAATTCACATTTAAAAATTAATGTAAATGGATAAGCATCACAATATAGTTAACTAGAAATAATGCTGTAAAATCAAAAACAATATACATGAAAATTACATTGCTCTTTCCCAAAATTCTAACAGTATGTATTCTTAAAATGTTCAAAACTGAAAAACTAATAAAACTGAAATTGCAAATTAAACTTTTCGTTACAAAAGGATACAGTTACCAAACAGGACTAGAATTATAAAATATAAACTATATATCATTCCCCCATGAATTCCTCCTTGAGATTGTATCCCACTGTACATAACTTCATTCCAGTCTTCCCCAGTTAAAATCTAGAAAAGTACAACTAAAATCAGTTATGAGTTTTTAAATTTGGCAAAAATATAACAATTATAAGTTAATAGAAAATGCACTCTAAAAAATTATTTTTTAATACTGAGCAAGCAATATGTTTAGATAATACAAAATTTGATGTGCACATTACATGCCATATGCCTTCCTTGTACAGCGTATTAAATTATACACATATTTTGCTGCATTTCATTTAGATTTCTTTCCTCAAATTATATTAACTTAATTAAACGGTCCTTCGAGACAAGTTGAAAATGACATCAAAAACTGCAAATTTTGAAATTAAAATATCCTTGAAAGACCTTGAAGTGTTTGTGGGTGCTAGTGTTCTTCTATCTGACCAAAAGAATAAGTAAAACCACAAGACATATTTATTTGGAATGAGATATTGCTTATACTAGTTTTCTTTTGTTGGTATAGGAAAAAGAATTAGATTCCAAGGAGCCTAAGTCCAGTTACATAGTACATTATGTGCTTCACTTAATTTACTGATTTGAAGCAGCTTATCATTTTGGTCCATCTATTATTTATCTCATAAAAATTATACTTTTAGTACATGATAACAACTTCTGCATTTTACTCATTTCGGAAAAACTAACTAAAAACTAACTGTACATCCGTCAGTTAGCCAATGGATATCACGATTTTGCATGCACTGGAGTTCAGATATCAAGCAGCTTTTTAAAAAGTGTTAAAGAAAGACCATCCAAGAATGCTAGAAATATGTTAATATAAAATCTGATATTGTGGAGTTGTGCAAGATGATGAAAAAAAAAGTGTCTAGCAAATATATGTTTTTAAATGCTTGGCATAATTTATACTCAACTATCAAATTTTGTGATGATGACGACTTGCAAATCTGTTTTTGGTTATTGTAAGAAAAAGCAGAACTTCCCGATTAACAGAATATCAGAAGAAATGTTACATGACGATGATTGAAGTTACATAATTGAAGTTTTACACTGTATAAAGGAATAAAGGACTTTTTTCCAAACTGGGTTCAAAACGGATTTTTTTGTCCTATCTGTATATACACACAAATGTATCTTGCATAACTCAAAAACAATTAGCTATAGAATACTGAAACTTTGTATATGAGACTGCTATAACATCTAGTTGTGCATCTTTCTTTTCTTACAATCAGTAGAACCAACATATATATATATATATATATATCATTTTATGCAGACGCGTCGGGAAATTGGAACAGAAATTGAGCTAAAAAAATTTTCTAGCACAATGCTCTAATTAATTAAAAATTTCGTAACGCAAAAATTTCAATTGTCTGTTTCGGCGAAACGCGTAATGGAGTTAACTTGGTTCGACGTTTAACCAGAAATTTCTCTTGAAAAGCCAGATTGGACCTCCAATTGAGCTAATTTACTATTTTCTGCTTTATAATTTTTATATGTTTTTATTTGTTTTAACTTATTCCATCGATTGACTTTTTATATGTTTTAACTTGTCACATCAATAGGTTTTTTACTGTATTTTTTGCCATTAACTTGTTTCCAATGATTTGTATTTTACTGTGTTTTATATTTTACATTTTATTTCGCATGTAGCCTAATTTTTCACCCTTCAATGTCATTATTTTTTTAAAAAACTGTGTTGAACTTTTTCTTGGAGCCACAGCTCCTGGTAACTTTTTGGGAAGCTCAATACAATGTCTCATTCCTTATTTTGCAGATATTGCACAAAATTTTTTAGACAAATGGTCTTTTAATATTGTACTTACGACCTAGCTTTTATATATTATATATACCCTCCAATACTATGCTTAAAAGTCTATGTGGCCTTTATTTTTTTATCATTGATAAAATCATATACTTCCATTACAATTGGTTATAACAATGAAAATATTCATATTTTAGTAATTTCAAACTTAGGGAAAAAGTTAATTTTTCAAAATAATGAATTTATTTTTAATGTGGTTCCTGGTAATATACTTACATTTGGGAAGCTTTTATATCATATATAAAAATATATAATTATAGAGTTAACCTCCGCATATGACAAAAATTTATCGTGATAATTAATTTCCAAATTTGCAATTTTTAATGTCATTTTCAACTTGCCTTGAGAGAACTTTTAATTAAGTTTGAATAATTTATGGAAATAAATTTAAATGAAGTGCTGCAAAAATGTGCACAGTTTAAGAGGCTGTACGAGGAAGTCATGCAGTATCCGTATTAGATATATTTAAAAGAAATTATTACTTGTAATAAATGCATATGAATCGGGGGGGACTGCATAAGCAGAAAAGAATTCAATAAAATACCATAAAAAATTCAATTTCTGAAGATTTAAAACTGATGATTTTTGATAGGCTGGTAATAATTCATCAGCAACTTGCTTCTGAAAGACAGACTATAAATCCAATTTTTAAAAAGAAAGTTAAGGACAATGTCATGGGAGGGTTGACGTTAGCCCAGGAAAAGCTTTTCAGGCAGCTGATTATTCTTCATGAAAATGCCCTTGAAATGATGGAAACATTTCCAGCAGTATATGAAAAGTATAACTATTCTTAGTAATTTTCTTTACTCACCGAATTCAAAACATTTATGCCTCTTAACCTATTAACTGCCATGATCCACATTTGTGGATTTGTCTTAGTAGCGGAAATTTGGTAACTTTAATTAGGTTGGCAACAATGCTTACTTTTTTACATTGTTGTTTAAACCTTTCTCAAGCTTTTACATGAGTTGCTGAGTAGTAGTTGTTAAATGAGTGAGATGGAGAGTATTTGTGAGAAGAAGTAAAGTTTTTGTTAATTTCAAGATTTCAACATTTTCAAAATACGGTATGTCATATTATTATGTACATCATTTCCAACTCCTGTGTATTGGCGTGTTCTCTAATGGTTTTAGAATATATTTACTGACTATCTATTGTCAATGTGAATTTTATTTTCCAATGAGGGCTACTTGAATGTAGATCTCCATTCGGGGCTGCATGGCAGATTCCATCTATATTCTATTTGCGTTCCAATTTCCGATCTCTATGTCAATCTAGACACCCAGAAATAATTGTAAATTGAGAGAAAAAAATTTGGCAGTTAATGGGTTAGAAGTCAAATTTTGCATAAAAATTGTTTAGAAAATTAGCAAAGTGCAACAAGGAGATTAAAAAAAATTCCTGAAAAGCTGACCTCTGTGTGAGTTTCCAGAAGTTCTATGAATATGCAAAATAATGTACTGCATTATAAAATATGGATTCAAAAGACTGAAAAAAGCCTTCCCCCCAAAAAAGAATTTTTTATGAAGCAAGATCTTCACAGATACTACTTATGCTGTTTGGTACAGATAAATTTTATGCAACAAAATACTTTTTTTTTTTTTTTTTACCTGAAACACAGTGAGCAAGGCAATAGGAAAGGAATTAAAGTTTTCTGGAGGCTCTCTCTTCAAAATTAAAACTGCAAAAAATAAAAAATTCATAGTTAAAATTCAAATGTATATCTGCTCCACAGAATAGAAAACTAAAATAAAATGAATTTATACTTGAATGATTATAACTATGACTATTTACTTGCATAAATAAAAAATACATTCAGAGCATTGTATAAAATTCCAGCTTGGTTTCTACAGGTTATTTAAATTGAATTTTATTTGCATTCCAGAAATTAAACTGATTTACATACAAATTAGTACATTGAAATTTAATATTTCTCAAACAGGTTCCTACAATTTTTCTTCAGAATAATCAATCATTTCATAGTCTCAAATTTATTTGAATCTAATGTTTTCTGTAGCTATAAACAAACTTTTTTCAAGTTAAATAAAATTAGAGTTATAACTAAAACTGTTTATTTTGTTTTCTGCACAAATTTTCTCCATCCGCAAAAATTATAATAATTCAACTACAAATATTCTTGCTGAAAGAAGAGCTACAATGAATTTCCTGATTCGTAAGAATCTTGGTGTATAACATTTTTAATATTTCCTCTAAAAGTTGATTTGCCCCCCCCTCCTCCCCAAAAAAGAGGATGCAATGAAATAATGTAAAAAAACTAAAAATAACAAAAACCAAATATTGAATTAAATCCATATGTTTAAAAAACAGCTATTTAATAATTACCAAAAGATAAGTATTTAAGAACTTAAGCATCGTGTGCTTTGCAAACTTAAAAAGTAAATATATTTTAGTCTAAATGTGTATGCCTATTCAAAAGAAAAAGAGGTTAAGCTTTTGAAGTGTAAATGCCCTTAAAGACTGTACAAAATTTGTTTAAAGCAGTGTTCTTCTATTCTTCTTGTTAGCAGATAATGAGACATGAATTAAAAATCTCTGTTTAAAATTCAAATCCTGAATACAAAAAGTTAGCAAGATTTTAAAATAATTCATCACAGAGATAAATTATTTACCCAAACACTAATTGCTCAAATCAAGATTTTATAAGGCTCAGTATGTTGTAGAATCCGTCATTTTTGAAAAGAAAAAAATATATATATATATATACTTACGCGCCTCCAAAAAGTTGCATTCCTAAAAGTGCAAATATTAGGATGAAAAGAAACAAAAGGAACAACAGACTGAGAATGGAACGCATGCTGCTCAGAAGGGATATAACAAGATTGCGCAGAGAAGCCCAGTACCTAAAAAGAACAAGAAATTTATTATCAGAACGTAATTTATTACAGAATAGTAATAAAATTTTGTGCTGTGTAGAATATTGGACAACATATAAATAAATGTGCATTGTGATTTTAATGCATTTTTATAATGCAAATTATATGCAAAAATTCAGAAACTTAAACTTTTTAGACATTTAGAATTACTTAGATTTCATATTTTAAGTTTATATTTTTCTTAATATTGCAGTATATACATTCAACAACCATTATATGCACACAGACAAAGTAAAAATACTAATTTGTATTCAAGAATAGCCAAAACATATAGTTTACTCAAAAGCTCAAATTTTAAATATAAATGAGATGTATAATGCTAATCAAATTACAAACACTATTAAAATTAAATATAGGCAATTGTCACATGAAATTTAGGTCCTTGAAATCAGGTTCCAGTTTGACAAAGGATATTCAATAGAGTGAAAATATAGGTTGCAGATTAAAAATAAATAAATAAAGCTAAAAGTACAAATGAGGTAGACTTAGAATGGGTTCATTTACAGATAGTCATATAATCTATAGAAAATCAAGCAATAAGATAAAATCTACTAAATAGCTTCATGTTTCTAATAGTTTCTGACATATACATCACTTTTTCTATTATTTCTATGATATATGCTAAATATTTCAAAGAATAATTCGATACTGTCAATCTTTACATGTTTCTTTGGTAATGACGTAGTATACAATCTTCTGCTTTTAATTAGTTTATTATTTCTCGAATGCTTATTATTTATTTCTTAAATTATTATTTATTTATTTATTGGATGATGTCGCTAAAAGGCTATCTTTAAATATGAATATACATACAAATAATTGAGAATACATAAATGAAAATCATTTATTAATTAATTTAATAACCCATAAAATTTCAATGGGTTCATAATCAATGATAACAGCTTCATAAAATAAAAAGCAGCTTTCATATTCGAACTGACGATAAAATGGTAGGAAAAAAAAATGATTAAAACAACTAATTTTAGCAACATAATATAAAAAATAACCAACTAATCAAAAACAATAGATCAATAGATTACTATATCTTTTACAATGATCAATGAACTAAGGAAACACCTTTATTTCTATTTAAAAGGGAATGAAAAAAGATTGTCAAGAAATACAGAAAAATAGAATAATGAATATAGTATAGGCTTTAATGAATCTTTACATAACAAAGACATTTGGAAAAGGTAAAGGTATTTTTAAATATTCAGGAATCAACTCACTTTGTCACTTTAAAGATCCTGAGAAGTCTTAACGCTCTGAGTACTGAAAGACCAAATGAACCTTCTCTATAACTGGACCAGATGACTTCAAATATACTTCCACATATAACCTAGAATAACAAAAACATTTAAAACTGAAGTGAAACATTAAATGGTTTATTCCAAATACTTCCATAACTATCCATGAGGCAATGCATTACATCGCCAAAATAGGCTACCCCAGGCATGCAGATGGGCACAGCAGACAAAATATTATTTCTTTCTTCAAATTTATGGTCAATTTCTCATTACATTTCTTATTTTATTTACATTCTCAGAGAACTGCACAGCTTCAGCATTGTTAACAGGCTGTGTAACAAACACATCTCATCATTGTCCCCTTTAGCGACTCTGCAATAAAAATACTGTATTCCTACAGGAATTTTTACCAAAATCTCTTTCATTGCTGGCATATTTTATATTTAAAACCTTTACAACACTGCTTTTGGCTAATAACAAAGTAAAACTTTTATATCTTAGAATTACTTGTAGTCTTACTTCAAATTAAAATAACAGTAGCATAATATGTAATATACGCAATTTTGATAGAATCAGTGTTGTGCACTCATTTATTATAATATTAATTTGAATTGAAACCAAAAAATATAAATCTATTGAAAAATTGAGAGAAAAATAATAATACTAAAATTTTATTTTTCTCTCACAAGTCCAACTTCTATATCCATCTTTCCTTCTCATAAAATTCAGATAGTTATTTTTCCGAATTGCAATGAACTATGTATTTATTTATTAAACCTTACGCCCATAAAAATGCATTGTATAATAAGTAAAGAAAATTTTTTATGTTTCATCTCAAAATGAGTTCACATATTTACTTTTTCAAATAGCAGTCAATTTAATACATAGTTACTTATTAAATATTACATATAAATTGTGCATTTATATTTTATCCCAAAATGAGTTTATACAGTCATATTTCCAAACATTAACAAAGATAGAAGCAAATATTTTAATGCTTCTAACGTATTTGTCTTTAAAGTGAAAGATGATTAATTTTAACTTCTGCCTAATTAATTACACTGTAATTTTATAGAAGGTAATTAATTAGGTTGAAAAATGTATTCTAGAGAAAGATTTGTGCACAGTGAAAAATTGGGTTAATACATTTTAAGAAATTACACTAACCATGAAAAATCAGATTTAAAATTAGGAATATACGGAATTTGTTCATCTATTATTCATAAGACTTTGAAGATTAAGTGTACCAACAAACAGTTGAAACATGTGATTACAAGACACAGTATCTTTAAATGTATATGGAAAATAAAACTTCTTTATACAAAATTAAGGTATGCACATGATGGAATTAACATTTATAGATAATGTAAAATATTAAAAAGAGATTGAGCACACAGGAACATTTGATAAATACAGATAAAATGAAAAAAAAATTCAACAACTTACAACACAATCAAATCTGTTGAAGGCAGATTCGAAGTATAGGCGAGGCCCGAGGGCATAAACTTTAATAAACATTTCACAGATGAAAAGTCCCAAAAATACAAATTCTGCATAGTCTACAAAATAAAAATATAATTCATTAAAATATTCTCCAATTACATATATTTTATAAGATAATAATATGATAGATATTCAATGAACATAAAATAAATAAACATTAAGCATTTAAAGAAACATAAAATACATAATTCCGTATTAACGTGTTGCATGAAGCCTGATGTTCTTCCAAAAGATGTTATTTTTCACATGAAGGTTATGTTATGGGATAATCAAATAAAATGGCAAAAGTGTCTTTGACTTTTGAGGATCATAATACCATTTTAAAATCGTACCTCAAATCTGAACCATCACTTAAAACTAAATAGCTTTTTACTCTCTGCCTCAAAAAAACTAAATAGCTATTAGATAATATTATCATTACTATTAGATATCATAGCTATTAGATATTATTATCATCACTGAGATTAATGTACAATGTTTCGAAAAACTAAATAGCTTTTTTACTCAAAAATTATTAAAAAAAATAAATACTGCTACATATATTTACATTGAAAATAAATATAAATATAAAAAAAAAGTTATCAAAGGAAACAGACATATGATTAGGTAAAAACCTATTTTAGATGTATAATAACTGAAGTTGTTTGTCAAAGAAATTGAAATAGCAAATGCAACACTATAATTAAACACTTTGGGAAAATATTTGCTCAAGTAGTAGTTTGCAGTGATCAAAAGTGTCTTAATATTTATGAATGAAGGAAGTCAAAGGTGACTTGGATTCTTTGAATCTGCCTAAATTTAGCAATACAATTTTTTACAGGTTTTTCTTTTACTGAAGATGAAATTTCCTTTTTTGCTTCCTAAATTTGTAAGCCATTTTAGTATCAAAAAGCTTGCATAATTAATTACTTGTTAATCAACATTTGGAATTCTTCCATATAGTTGTAAAATACATACTATTTTAAGAATATTCCATAAATTTTCTGCATCTTAACTTTGCAAATGCTACAGAATACACTTGTAGGTTTCTTAATATTAGCCAAATATTTACAGACTTGATAGGAACAAAGATTAAGTTACCTTTATAATGAATATCTTATATTTTGCAAAAGACCTAAAGAACACAAACACCTATTCGAAGAACAGAAGGGGAAAACTTTCATACTCAAACAAAGCAAATCAATAAAAGTTAAAACTTTCCATTCCCTAAAAAAAGAATCAACTAAAAAACTGCAAGCACATGAGATTCACTGTTTCCTCTTTCTCTGAATAATGGGAATTTGAAAATTCTCATCATAATAGCAGCTTAAAATAAGATCTGTCTGGCAACTCAGACAAAGAATTTGAATGGAATCAGAGAATCCATTTACACTTTTTTGGTTCGCCGACAATGTACATGATGTCCTAAGATACACTTATTATATCCTCATTGTCCTACAGTTACATGTCACACCTGCTAACCTTTAATCATAACACAGAGAAAAGTGGGGTGAAGATAAAATAAGATTGTTTTCTTTTATGGATGGAATTAGGAAGGTGGATCTTAATATCCTAAATGTAGATGATTTTACTAGTTTGTAATTTTTTCATTGAAACTTCTAAACATTCGGGAAAAAATATTAAAAAATACAAAAAAACAAAACAAAAGTTTCAACATATCAAAGGTATTTATATAGTTTGTTATATCCAATTTTCACACTCTTGGAGATTCCATAACATTATGCACAGAGGAAACTGGAGGGGACCAACATGTCCATTCATTATATCTGGGAATTGCTGTAAGCCAGGTTTGTTATTGTGGCATTTGACAGCATATATAAAATATAAACATGAGTTTTATTTAAATGTGTTCATAAAAACACAGATATTATTTCATATCAGCAGTTTGATCTCCTATAAGAGCAAGCAAATTGTAAAAAATTTGTTCAATAAATATTAAACTTGTTAAACATAGAAAATGCCATGGTTCGCAAAGCAAATATTTATTATTGAGATACGCAGAGATACACACATTGTTACATGCAAAGAAACACAAGCAATGATAAGTACAAACAAAGTAATACAAGCACAGATAAGTAAGTACAAGCAAGGATAAGCGGTTACAGAGGTCATATATATAACTTTATAACAGATCATGGTTTAACAAATCATAAACAAGACACAATAAATAACCAATCAAAAATAACATACAGAATGAGATTTAAGTTTTCAGAATAACTCGGACCTGGCTGAAAGCTAATGAATGTTTCGGACTTGACAGAAAAGCTATACTTCCTTTTAACCAGTAAGAATGCGATTACAAATATCTCAACACTCCCCTTAATCACACATTATACAAAACATAAAAGAATTACACAATTTTTAAACAGCTCAATGATAACAGTTCATAGAATTTTGTTTTGGACAAAGCCTTAGTTAACATATCTGCAATTTGTAAACCTGATTGTACATATTCAATTCTAATATTATTTTCCTTAACAGTCTTACGAGTGAACTTTAATTTTATATCTATATGTTTCAACCTACCTGAAAAGTTTTCATTAACAATACTTTTAATACATGACTTGGTTATCCTCAAAAATATAAACATTTTTAACACTGGAAATTTCAATTTACTACATTTTTTATCCATAAAACATCTTGAATACCTTTACATAAAGCAATTATTTCAGCTTCTGTTGATGAAAGTGCAATACACTTTTGCTTGTTACAGCACCACATAATAGGACAGTTTGAAAACATTATAAAGTAACCAGTAATTGATTTCCTATTTGAGTATCTCCCCCCCCCAATCTGCATCTATATATACAAACACAAGTTTGCCCTTTCCAAAATCACCCTTTTTGTATATCAATTTTAAATTTAAGGTGTTTTTCAAGTACCTAAGAATTCTTTTTAGAGCACACCAGGCAACATCAGTAGAATGCTCCTGCAGTTGGCTTAAGCAATTTACTGCAAAAACAATATCTGGCCTTGTGATATATGCTAAGTAAAGGCCTTGTGATATATCCAATTAATTCTTTGTATGGGCCATGAAATACATTTACTTTCTGAAAATCAGCTGCTGTAGATTTTGGTTGAATGGGAGTTTGGGCTGTTTTACAATCAGACATTTTAAATTTATCAAGTAATTTTTCAATATATGGTTTCTGATCTAAATATAAACAATCAGGCTCAAATTTCAGTCTAATACCTAAAAATTCTGAGACCCTTTCAGATTTTGACATTTTAAATTCACTTTGATAACAATGATATTATAATATTGTTTTCTTTTACATCTGAACCTGCAATTAATAAGTCATCTACATAAAGAGCCATAATTACTTTCTTACAATTTAAATTTCTGATAAAAATAACATGGTTCAGAGTCCAATTGCTTAAAATCAATTTAATAACAAAATCAAGAAATTCCTGATACCATTTTCGAGGAGACTGTTTAAGACCATATAAACTCTTTTAAGTTACACTTTACCACTCATATCATCATATCCTTTTGGCTGGTCCATGTAGATGGTTTCATCTAACTTACCGTTCAAGAAAGCTGTCTTGACATCTAAAGTAAAAGTTTGCAAACCTTCATTATTGATAATTACCAGGATTAAACGTAAAGAGCACATACTAATCAACTGGAGAAAACGTTTCTGTATAATCTACGCCTTCCTTTTTCATAAAGCCACGACCAACAAGCCTGGCTTTGTAAGTTCAATCTCGTTTTATTACGTAGAACCCATTTGAAGGAAATGGCTCTTTTATCAGGGGGTAAACTTTGTAGGTCCCAGACGTCGTTATCTTCCATAGATTTCATTTCCTCGTCCATAGCTCTTTTCCATGGTTCTTGTTCTACTTGTGGTAGATTTACAATATCTTCAAATGTCAGAGTGTCTTGTAGCGCAAACATTACTAGGTAAATCTCAGGATCAGGATGCCTAACTGGCTGTTTCTTTTCTCTTGAAGATTTTCTTTGTTCCTCCTTCTTATTTGCATCATTTAATTCGCCGTTATCAGTGTCTGAAATTGATTTGTCTTTTTTAATGTCATCATTGTCATTTTCACTCAAATCAGAACTATCGCAATATATTTTGATTTTCACTTTCTTCTTTTCTTCATTAAATTTAATACTTCTGGAAACAACAATGCGTCTTGTTTCCGGAATCATTAAACGATATCCCATTTTGGGTTAACCTACAAATATCATTCTGACATATTTTTCATCTAGTTTCTTTCTTTGCGATGGTGGCACTAGAGTATAAGCATCACAGCCAAATAATACACGAATGTTTGTTAAATCAGGATTTTCACCATACTTCAGAAAATAAGGAACACGATTGTCAATCGAACTATTTGGGATTTGGGAGTCGATTATTTATGTAAGCAGCCGTAAGTACTGCTTCACCCCAAAGGAATTTTGGTAATTTTGCCTCAAGTATCATTGCTCTAGCTTTTTCCAGTACAGTTCTATTTGCTCGTTCAGCAACACCATTTAGAAAAGGTGTACAGGGAGGAGCGGGATCTACTTTTACACTTGCTCTTTTAGCAACATCATGCATCTCCACTGACATATTTTTTGGCATTGTCACAGCGCAGTTTTGTAACAGTTGGATTCAATTTAAAGAACAGCTTGAGTTCATTAGCAATGTCACTTTTTCTTTTAAGCAGTCTGATTTTCATAAATCGCGAGTAGTCATCAATTATAGTCATGAAATACTTTTCCCCATGGACTGTTTGAGGTTCTATTGGACCACATATATCAGTGTGTATAGTTATAAGTGGTTTGGATTCTTTTATGCGAGGACCCTTTCCTGTAGGCAAAGCACTTTGTTTGGCACGAACACATACTTCACAAAAAGATTCTTTTGCAGGAAGATTCATTAGTTTTAATTTTTGATCACAGCAGTGCCCTAATCTTCTGTGCCATAAATCATCATTCTTTACTGTTAAAGCTGTAAATAAATTTGGTGAAAAATCACTAAAATATTGTCCGCATTTGTCCAAATATCCAAATCCAAAACGCTGTTTGTTTTGTTTTCAATATAAACTATTTCATTTTTAAAAATTA